CCCCCAAGACTTCCAGCTGCAGTGGCTCCCCCTGCAGCAGCCCAACATCAGCTTCTGTCACATCCAAAACTCACCTCAGGAGGACTCTGTCAGCATCCAAAGGAGGAGGAGGAGGAGGAGGAGGAGGAGGAGGAGGAGGAAGGACCATAACCACCACGAGCCCATCAGAATCATCCTTTCTCCAGCTGCCACAACTGCTAGAGTTACCCCCGATCGGTAAAGATGAAAAGAGACAGTATCTTTTAAATTTTCCTGTTAATCATTTTTATCCTTTATTGTATCAGAATTCTCGCCTGCTCAGCGTTTTAAAAACATTGTGACTAAAAAAAAAAAAGCCACTTTTTTTTTCCCTTGTATTTTCAGGAAACAACATGGACGTGTTTGTATCCTTGGCTTGTCATCCGGGCCACTTTGTGCTGCAGTCCTGGAGAGATATGTACAAACTGGTGGTCTTGATGGGGGAGATGATACTCTTCTACAATAAAACGGAGGAGAAACCACTCAAAATAGAGAAGAATCAGATTTATGCTGCTAAAATTGACAACAAGTGAGTTTAACGTTGATTTGTTTCACCTAATAAAAGTTATTAACGAATTAGACACAAGTTCACACCTCAAAACTGTATTTTAGGCGTCAGATAGCTACAGTTTATTATCAGTAAATGGACATTTGGTTGAGTTAGTCATTTGTCCTTGTGGATAAACTTTTTCCTCTGTATACTTTTCAGCTGGCATCGAGTGTTGGTGAAGGGAGTCCTGAGCAACGGCTTGGTGTCCGTGTATGAGCTGGATTACGGTAAACATGAGCTGGTCAGCTGCAGCCGGCTCAGACGTCTGATAAAAGAGTTCAGGCAGCTGCCGTTCCAGGGCATCCCTGCTCAGCTGGCTGGTGAGTAAACCGAAGAGCTTCAACGATAACCGCTGGTCAATTTAAGAGCAGTTTGTGGTTTGTGGTACCATTCCAGTCTGATGTAATTGGGCCTATAAACAATAAATCAATTAATCGCATGATAAATGAAAATTATCGACCTCTTTTTCATTTATCGGCTTTATCGTTTCTTGGTGTCTCTCTTCACTGACCCCTCCCTTTCTCTTTTCTCTTTAAAATCCGTTTTAATCGTCCAAAATCGCATTTTTGGATCGTTAAAAGCAGCTAAGCTGAGAAGCTAAGCTACGAGCTAAGCTAACAGGCCGACCTCGAGAGAAAAAAACCTCCGTCTTGTCAAAGCTCCAAAATTCACGTTTAAAACCCGTTCCTTTGTCAAAAAAGTTGTTTTTTTTTCTGCAAAAAGACGCTGAGAACTTGTTTACTGATTTTTTTAAATTAAAAGCATTGTGTGAAAAATGATATGCTAAAGAGCTCAAACCACACCGAGCGTCCGCCATTTTGAGAACCAGAAAAACAGGAACGAGAGACAGCACATGTCATGTCAAGGGGCCTTCCTCCCATTTTCCTTAGAGACACGCTGCTCGCTCCCTCACTATCCATCCTTTGGTTCAAACAGCCTTATACTGCCATCCAGTGGTCAAAAAAAGGTACTACACGCAAAAATTAACCAACATTTCTTCTTAAATAATTTCTAAGCATATTATCGTTTATCGCGATAATTTCTGAGACAATTAATCGCCCATCAAAATTTGTTATCGTGACAGGCCTAGATGTAATCTCAAGCTGCACTGAACATGTTTACAGTGATAAAGGTCAAAATGAAGCTAATTAAAGGTATAAATGAGTTAAATTGTTATACTGGTGCTAATTTGCATTCGGTTTGTTCATATATCTCCAATTCACAACAAACATCATCTCAGGGAACTATAGAAAAACATTCACATGTGATATTAAATGACAATTAGTAAAATGTATTTATTTAAAGAAGTCTGCATATTGGGCCAAATCTTTACTTTATCACAATCTTCCATCCTGAGCTGCACAGTAGCGACAGTGGAAAGGAATGACTCCCTTTTAACAGGAAGAAACCTCCAGCAGAACTGGGCTCAGGGTGACTGGGATGAGAGAGGACGGGAGAGAAACACGTCATGTTTCCAGAAACACCTAGAAAATTATTATAAAAATATTTCCCCTAAAATGTCAAACTCAATTGCATGAATGGGCTAAAGTTTAAAACTTTTTTCCAACTCATGGGCCCAACATCTTTCTTTGGGTCTAGGTTCATAAACAGGAGTTAAATTGGTCCCATTTGATGTTTTTTGTTGCTCATCAACATCAAATAATACAAAACAACCTTTTTTCTGGCATCAAAGTTAGCCAAGTGTCATGAGAAACTTGCATTAAATCATTATTTGAATCAAAATGAGAAGAATAAACACATTATTCATTTAACTTATAATATCGGTGGGCCTTAAAAGATGTTAACAAGGGCCAATTTTGGCCCACGGGCCTTGAGTTTGACACATCTGGCTTAAAGGTACCATTCAACAAGATCCAGTGTTTTTATTTTTATTATCCCTTTACCTTGTCTTTTGTTTTTTGTGCTGCTGGGCGTGTGGCTTCAGATCGCTTTAAACGTTTAATTCTCTACGTCCATTTGTTTTCACAGATTTTGAATTAAGCTTAAGTTCACTGTCGTCTGCCTCCACCCACAGGAGTGAAGCAGAGGCAGTGGTCAGAGGAGGCCTCCATCGTTTTCAGAAACCACGTGGAAAAGAAGCCCCTGGTGGCCCAGCTGGAAGCCGTGCAGGAAGCTACAAACCCGTGGGACAGGAAGTTGACGGTCTTCCTGGTCGACACGTCGCAGGAAGAAAGGGACATCTGGATGCACGACATCATGGCCGAGTTCGGAGACGAGCTGAGCAACGAGCTGTAGACGATGAGAGCGCACTGTCCTGACGATCACTGAAGACAGGAAGTAAAGCTTTTCAGTCTTTACTCATCTGGACGATGAATGGTGAAATAAGTTAGATTTTACTAGCAGAAAGGGGACTTTTGTGGTTTTATAGCAAGTAGATCGACTCAGACATAAAGACAAGAGCTTAAGGAACTGAAATGACTAATTCTGGGCTCTATATAAAACTATTTATAACTATGTTGTGATCCTTTTGGCTACAAACAAATTAAATAGTGTAGAGAACTGTTTGAACCTTAAAGTGTCTCCGCTGTGTGAGAACGGCAGAAGATACGTTTTCCGTGCATCTTGTTTCAGAGTTGAGGAAAGCCCGACTCCCCTCAGCCCAGCGAAATGTGAGCACCGAGCATTTTTTTGATGCTGCTAAGACGTCTGTGCGTTCGTTCACCAAGTCTGCTTTTCCCATTGTTCACAAAAGTTGGAGCAAAAATTCCCTAAAGCGAAGGACAACTTTGAAAATTCAATTCAGTTCAGTTTATTTATGTAGCGCCAAGTCACAAGAGAAGTCGTCTCAAGGCACTGAACAGAAACATTTGTATATAAAAATAATTTATCGCCATCGCAGAACTGTCATCTTGAGCAAACATGAAGGCGACAGTGGGAAGGAAAAACTCCCTCATGAGGAAGAAACCTTTAGTAGAACCAGGCCCAGGACAAGCGGCCGTCTGCTTCAACCAGCTGGTTTTGGTAGGAATAGATACACAATGGCAGGTCAAGAATCATATGTTACGATAGAAATTGTATCAAATGAAAACGATTCAATTTTAACAATTCATTTAAGGAAATGAGGTCAATTTGCCTTCACTACTCTACTAAGCCTATGGCAGCATAACAAGCCAACCCTAGCTATAGGATTTATTAAAGAGGAAAGTCTTAAGCCCAGTCTTAAAACTGGACAATGTGTCGGTTGTTTCCGCAAGAGAGGAGCCTGATAACTGAAAGATCTTCCATTCTGCTTTCTAAGACAGGGCTGTTCAAAATGGCGGATGTCCGGCCCCCGAGCTTTTGACTTTCAGAAAACTGCGACCCCCCCTGAGCAATTTTGATGAACTGCCCTGCTCTAGGAACCGCAAGTAAACCTGCAGTATGAAATCAAAGTGCTCTGTTAGGAAAATATGGAACAACAAGATCTCGAATATAAGATGGAGCTACTGTAGATTGTTGAGGGCTTTGTAGGTTAGAAGTAAGATTTTGAATTCAGTTCTGGATTTGACAGGGAGCCAATGGAGAGAAGCTAAAACTGGAGAGATATGATCTCTCCCACTAACTCCAGTTAAGATTCTGGCAGCAGCATTTTGGATCAACTGAAGACGTTTTAAGTATTTGGACACCCAGATAATAAACCATTACAATAGTCCAGTCTAGACGTGACAAATGCATGAACCAGAAAAGTCAGTATCACAAAGGAAGTAGTTAAATTATTAATTTACTTGGAAATCTATTAGAATAAGAGACAAGATATGACAATAACTAATAGAATTTGGTGAAGAGTTACCAACTTTGACTATTTTAATTAGTTGTTTCAGCAGCTCACTCTGGTTCTGCATGCTCAATAAATAGTTTGGATTATTATAATAAAAAAACAGCTGTGAACAACATGAATATTGTTGTTTGAATAAATATTTCTGAAGAAGAAAAAACCCTGGACTTCTGTGGGTTTGCATGCGTTTAAAACCCGGATGCTCCTGTGGTGTTGATGCACCATTCGTGTGTTTCCAACATAAAAAACACCTGATCCATTTTTTATTTTCCTGACACAGACTACTCTACCAGCAGGAGATTATTTGTGCTACACGTTGCACATTTTCCTGAAAAGTGTGAAATTTAGCTCCTAGATTTTTATGATGACCGGAGTTAATAAGTGTTGATCAATTTAGGATTTTTTTTTTTTTTTGCCTGACGGATCACGTTTTTTTTGGATTTGCAGTAAATCTCCAGTTCAAAAATAGGCTCAAAGCTGATTTTTTGTTGTTAACAGACGTTTTATTTATATCTAACTTATATTCTCCGGATGCTTATAGACACAATATTATTTACAAATTACCGTATTTTTCGGACTATAAGGTGCACCGGATTATAAGGCGCTTTAAGCGAAACAAAACCGTCAGATAAGTCAAACTTTATTCAACTCATTCACAATAACCACATAAAATCTGTTCGAGGGCAGTAAGCACACGCAGAATTAATACATTAGGCGCACCTGATTATAAGGCTCACTGTCAATTTTTGAGAAAATTAAAGGATTTTAAGTGCCTTATAGTCTGAAAAAAAAAACGGTACTTGGTAATGACCTGTTTTGACGTTTTTGGAATAAAGTCTGATTCAGAGGCTGACCTAATCTGTCATTTCTTTGGCTTTTATCCTGTTGTGATGATGTAAAGACGGAGGCAAATGGGTTTTTAACTTATTTATTAAAAATATCAAAAATATTTTTGTTTTACTTGCACAAAAAACACCAGAACAACAACAAAAAAAAGCATTTTTCTACTAAAACAACACTCAGAGTGCTCAAGAGTCGATAAATCTGAAGGCTTTTTTTCCCAGTTCAATATAAACCAATGCTTGGTAGATTTCTATCACTACCGTACAAACATGGTCAATTGTGATTACTTGATCAAACTTGTTTTAGTATCGATTAAAACCAGAAATTAAGTGGAAGGAATAATGTATTTCTTTTGTCAGGTGTCGGGTAAAGTATCGATTTGTCCGTGCAGCTGTTGTTTCCAGGGCTCAGTGAATGGAGAGCATCATCACAAACTCTGAAAAACAGAAGGACAAAACTTTGACACAAAATGTGGAGTATAATTTCGTGTGAACGTTGTGACGTGCATCTGCGTCTCAAGCCACCAACGGAATAATTAAGCTCAGAGCTCTCACCCTCGAAGTCGATGTTGCCGTCTGCGTTAATGTCCAGCTCCTTCAGGATCTCCTCCAGCTCGCCTTTCTTCAGCTTCTCCCCCAGTAACGTCTTCAACGCCTCCTTCATCTCGTCTTGGTTGATCTTTCCATCGCCGTCCAAATCAAACTAACAAACGGAGAAGTAGAAAATTTGTAAAAAATAAGTGGAACAGAACATCTTGTGTCATAAACTCTCAGAAATCGGTTTCTCAGAACACACCATTGGTTGGTTCTCTAACTATCTTTCAGACCGGAGGCAATGTGTTCAACATAATGGTACTTCCTCCAGTTATTTAACAGTCAACAATGGTGTACCACAAGGCTCAGTCTTAGGACCCACCTTCTTTACAATCTACATACATAATGTAGATAAAAACATCCCTGATGCATCCATACATTTCTATGCTGATGACACAGTTGTTTATTGTCGA